AATTAAAATTTTCAATACAAGTCTACTGAGACCCATTTAACTCGAATCCATTTAATGTAATATTTCTCTCCAAGGTTTCATATTTGAATTTTGCAATCTTTCGCCAATTTTACATTCTTTTCTCCAATTATTCATTAAACATAAAGTTTTACTTACAAAACACAATACAACATAAATTAGGTAGAATTTAATCTAAAAGACAATAAAATATCATGATTTAGGGCCACGAATAAGTGTATAAACTATACTGATAATTTATAAACACCAAAAAATATACATATATTCTTCATTTTTCTCTTCTTTCATACTTTTCTTATTTCAACACTCCCCTTGGTTTCATTGGCGACAAGGATAAATCTCCTTGAATTCACATAAGCTATGGAAAATATCTCCCCCTGATCTTCACTGACAAAGGAGGATTTCTTACTCTAGTTTATCGAAGGTAGCGCTGGCAGTATGGAGCCGCTGGCAATGTAGCAGTGGAGATGGCTGTGGTGTGAAGTAGAAGTGGTGGTGTGCTGGTGTAGAAGGTGATTTACATTTATTTTTTATTTTCTTTAAATATTTTGTTTGGTTGATTAGATTGATTTACTTTAAAGGATGTGATCATTTTCATTTATTAAAAGGTAGGTACTACTTACTAGTCACATGATGCACTTAACAACAAAGGTCGACAAGAAATGTTAGGGGGAATACATATTATTTATCAATGATTAGGGACAAAAATAAGATAAAAAATTGGTTAGGGTCAAGATCGATTGCTTTTGCCAAAGACTGGATAAAATATGCAATTTATCCTCAGGTGAATGTGCATTCCACATGCCAAAACTAATGGCATTTGCATAAATCCATCCAAAATGTCAAGTTGTGCCAAAATTGCAAATGTTTTCGGATTGCTAGTACCAAGATTTAAAGATTTAGGGGGAAAAACGCATGATTAGACAAAGGTTTGGGTGTTCATTTAATGCACCAACTTCACTTTGTTAACTATGGAATGATTATAAATAATATAGCTTAATCAAAATAAGATAACAGCCTGGTGGTAGTTAGTAATTTTTGGCCTTTTGTTTTCGAGTATAAATTTTCATTTACGTAAAAAAGTTTAATGAATGTGTCTTTTGGTGCTATTCCTGTACAGATGTACTAAGTTAATGAGCACATTCAAACACTAGTTAATTCAATGTACTTGGAAGCCTAGTACATGCATTATTTTGAGATTAGTATACAATTAATGTTTGGTACATGTATTAGTTTAGATTCATGGTTTGTAAAGCCCGTAAAAGGCTAGTGATTTTACTAATTTTCTAAAAAGCAATAGAATAGAATTTGAGTCTCCTCTTGAAATTAGAGGAAAGACATGAAAATGACCGGTTGACCCAAACTATTTCCATAATGACCTTTGACCA